TTCTGCAACATTCTCTCAGTTTCCCACTGAAAATTCCGCGGTCCGACAGTTACGTATATTTAAATATTCCAGCTCAACGCTAAGAATACGAGGTCACGCGACTCGTCGTCGTCGTCGTTGTTCGTTGAATTTTCGGATTTTCATATTCGCGAGCATCAGTCCTCCCGCTTCTCGAATTCTGCCTGTTCCTTTGAAGAGTGTGTTCCAGCGCTTTGACACGGGCATTTTCTTAATACAATTAGACACACTTTGTAGTTTACTCTGACACTGATTTCATTTGAAATGGCTGCGCGAATGCAGCCGAGCACTATGCAATTTAAGGCGGAAAGTCGCGCGGATTTTCTGCTTTTAATATCAATGAACTGTGTCGTGAAATGAATCGTCCAGCTGTTTGCTCGCACGAAAGCGAAACAACACGCAACAGAAATAAAAAAAGAAATCGAATCAACCGATAAATGAAATCTCTGCTCCATTTTTTTTTACCTCGAAGTTTCACCAGTTCTTTACTCGAACGTCTCTGTGACTTTGATTGAAACTTAAAGGCTTGAAATTTGAAGCTTCAGCTCGAAGCGTCCCTGGCAGATTTAATGTTCAAACAAATTTTGCGCAAAGAGGACCGTAGAAACAGCGTCGCCACGCAAAAAAAATGCATTGCGTTTGACAGTGTCTTTCACCAGCGAATAACTTCGTTCGTCTTATTTCTCCCGTTCGTCGAAAGCACCAAAAAGTGAGAAACATTTTTGGTCGGGGAGGATGTTTTATCGTCGGTGCGTGCACGACAGTTTCGATCGGTGACGCGGTTATTCTGCGAAATTGCAGCCGGTCCGAAACCGCTCGCCTAATTCTCGGCGGAATGGCAATCCAGTTTTGCGCGGCGCTTGTAATTGAATCGGAATTTGTCGTTAGAGCACGTAGCAGGTATCGTTAGGAAACCACATTATATTCTCCCGGGTACGATAGAAGCCTTAGTCCGATCTGACATACATTGTGCCTGTCCCGTTTACCGATGTTAGCAACCGCGTAATTCGAACCTCGTGCCTCCCACGAGAACTCGCCTCGCATCGCCAATAATCGTTTAACTTATTCTTCAGGTTAACATCGACGCGTCTTTTTGATCGGTCGACAATAATTCGAATGCCAATCCTCGATGAACGTAAACGTAAGAGCTTCATTGAGATTTCTTTCGCCTGGGAAGTACACTTCGGAATAACGAAACATTTTTCGTGTCGTGAACGTGCATCGTTCATCGCGAGAAGTCACGATAACGCTCGTAGTACAGCCACCTTGAAGCAACCGAGTTATTTTATATCGGATTTCTCGCGATATAAGATTCTTCGGAACCACTGGAGTTGAATTACAAAGGACGCTAGACTACAAGAACCGAACTTCGTCTTTTCGGACGAAGCTGCAGTTCCCCCGACACCCTTGACACCCTGACAACGAAATTTGGAAAATCTACTTTAGTGCAAAAAATGTCAGTAACAATATTAACAACAAAGTTCCTTTATGTTGTCTAATAATTCATCCAGAGGCATAGAAAAATAAAATATTCGGGTTTGGAGTGCAATTATTCTAATTGCATTGCCCTTCAATCGCGACCCGATTAATAATTTCGCCATTAAATCAGACAACTTGTAGGTATTTTTCAACGCTATTACTCGCCGCTCCCACGTCTTGAAAGTGTTTGCACTCCCCGTCAAAATTGTTTAATAACTCGGCGATCGCACTGATACTCACGAGTGGTATTCTCGCTCTTGATCTCGAACGCTTAATCGCTGAAGTTTTCTCAATAGCTCGATCTGTTGCGGCGCTAGATCAAGCTTGCGCCCTGCCAGAGTTTTTTCTCTCTCTGATAGCTCTAGTTGCCGACGCATATGCTCGATCACACTCTCAGACACGTTGGATTCTTCTTCGCGAACTTCTCGACTTCTCATCCATTCACCGGATGAATCCGTTTCACTCCGTCGTGTAGACAACTCCGTTTTCGTGCCTGAAAACGGCAGTCCTCTCTCTTTCAATTTTTCTCAGTTTCTTCAGCTCCGCTAACGAAAACTCGCGGGTGGGTTTTGTCCCAGAATTCATCGTTGCTCTTTCCTTAACTGCACTATTTCGAAATGACACAACTTCTTTTTTTTATTCACTGTTCGCACTGATGTGACTCTGTGTCGGTAAAATCCGTGGCTGAGCCTCCAATTTGTAGGAATTTCGGTTTGAGATCGCAATTTGTTGAATAGTTGTTTATTTAAGATTAAATAAACGGAAATAATAATGGTCATAATGATTAAAGTGACCGTTTCCTTAATTACTAAATTCATTCTCTTCTTTCTCCCGCAACTTTCAATTCACTGTCTGACTTTTCGATAGTCGCTCGCTCGCTGATTGAATTGCTATAAATAAATAGTTAATTTGTTAAATAATGTACAAGAATATCATCGAAATGTATTATTTTACAATTTGAATAATTCATTTGAATAATATTAAATTTTTAATAATTAAATTATTTTATTTCTACAATATTTCTAGACACTATTTTATAATTTTTCACAATTTTTATATTACGATTAAACAATTAAATTAATTATTTCATTCAATAAGTCAACGTTATTTCTTGTAAAGTAAATTGTTCAAGATTCTTATAAATTATTAGTTAAAAATTTTAAAGAACACTTAGAAATATTACAGAAGAGAATTTATTGTTTAATTGTTGCAAGTAAATTATTGGAAATATTAGATAATGTTTAAACACATTAGAATATTCAGAAATATTATTTAAAACTCACTCTTAAATTTTGCTCGATGTGCTCACGTCGGAAGTTGAATTGGTAATGACTCTCCGTACCGCTAAAGGTTACTCTAATGTTTCGGTCGTCAGTGACCCGCAACTGTTGACAATATTTCCTTAATATTTCAAAACAATTTTTCTATTATACTAATCAATAGATTTCAGATTTCTATCGCAAGATTACACTTTCATAAATATGTTACAATGTCAAATGTAATAATTTATTAATTTTTTTATCTATAACTGATTAAAAATAAATTTGCACTTTCATGATATTAATTTTTAAGTTGTAACTGCATTGATGTATATTAAATAGAAATATATGTAGAGAAAAATTATGTAGTCAAAAATGGAGTTAAACAGTGATTGTCGCTTCAGAATAATCGCGCAACATATAAAAATTTTCGCTCGTTTATTGTTTCAAATTGCAAAGAATATATGTATTATGTAACTATTTGTTCCGTTATTGTAAATAATATAACTTAATTATTATAAATAAATTGTTCAAACTATGAAATAATGCTTGGAAGTTCAATCACTGATTGAATTGCTATAAATAAATAGTTAATTTGTTAAATAATATACAAAAATATCATCGAAATGTATTATTTTACAATTTGAATAATTCATTTGAAACAATCAAATTATTTTATTTCTACAATATTTCTAGACACTTTTATAATTTTCACAATTTTTATATTACGATTAAACAATTAAATTAATTATTTCATTCAATAAGTCAATGTTATTTCTCTTAAAGTAAATTGTTCAAGATTCTTATAAATTATTAGTTAAAAATTTTAAAGAACACTTAGAAATATTACAGAAGAAGAGAATTTATTGTTTAATTGTTGCAAGTAAATTATTGGAAATATTAGATAATGTTTAAACAATTAGAATATTCAGAAATATTATTTAAAAATTCACTTTGAATGTTTAATCGATGTACACACGATGAAGGTTCAACTTATAATGACCTTTTTCGCTGCTCAACCATCGGATAAAGGTAAAGTCAGCGATGCACAACAGGTGGTAGTTTTTGTCAATAGTTCCAAAAATACTATTTCTATTACAGTAATCAATAGTTTTATAGTTTTTATGTTTCATTTAGTTAAAATTTTTCAGTTTTACAGTTTTATTGTTTTATAACCCCCATTAATCTTAGGCAACAGTAAGTACTGTCGGGTCGGGATCCCGAAAATTTCTAGATTCCCGAAGGAATCGGGTTTCCCGAAAATTTCGAGAACCCGGTTACCGTTTCTCGAACTACTGTACAATGCTGTATAGTAGCCTACAAAATATGTAAATACACAGTTCAGTTTCTTCAGCCAGTGAAGTTATTGAGAACACGGATTCTAAGAATCGTGTGACCTGATGTAAACGAACGTGTGATTGCGTGCTTAGTACTTGAACATTATGTATAGTCGGTCATGAAGATATTCGGACATCACTATAGATTTGATCTTTATGTTCTGTATTTTATCTAAATGTACAAAGGACTAAGAAAATGTACTATGCCATGATAGAGTGTAGTTTTTAGATAACAAAAATGCAAAAACCTTTTATTTGTTGCGTGTCATTGCTTAAATAATGGAAGAAAATCGAAGAAATCGCTAATTTGCAGGTCACAAAACTATTCGGGCATTATTAAAATTAAGTTTACAAAATTAATATAATGATTTTTAACTAAGGATTAATATCTTGTGGGATATCCTTTTTGTTGCACAACACGTCTTAGACGTGTTGGCATGTTGTAAATAATCTTTTGTAAATAGTTAATAGTCAATTTCTGTGACCTGCAAATTAGCGATTTCTTCGATGTTCTTCCATTATTTAAACAACGATACGCAATGCATAAAAGATTTTTGCATTTTTGTTATCGAAAAACAGCACTCTATCATAACATAGTACATTTCTTCAGTCCCTTTGTACATCTAGATAAAATACCGAATGAACGTAAAGATCAAATCTATACTGGTAATATTTTCGTGACCGGCTGTACCAATTATTCGTTGTTAACTCGCAGGAAAGCGGAGAGATCAAACAAAACGTGACAAAACCGCGATTGTTTACTCGCGCTCATTTCTAGCTGGCTATCCCAGGTTGCTATTCGTTGCCCTCTCGCTGTCCTGCAAACTCGCCCTCGAACGAGAGGAGAAGAATCGCCACGTGCCCGATGTATTTTCTAACCTCGGTGTTGTTGCTCTTCTTCTTCCAGAGATCCCGGGCAGATGGAGGAGGCATTGCACGCATGGGCCGATAATGTCCGAGCCGGGTTGCAACCTGGTGTCTGAGGGAACCGCTGGACAGAACGGGAACACCGTCTCGACCGGAAGATGCGTCTGCGGACCGTCGGTGCCTTGGTGCCCGAACGAGCCGCGCCCTTACGATTATGCCACTCGACGCGAGTGCACGCTCAACTTGGCTGCGAAGATGAACTACGGTGAGTAAGCTGCCATTTTAACTCTTTGATCTCGGCAAACATTTTTTTTTTTTTTTTTGTCATCATCTTGCAAAGCTTCGTTGGTTCAAATAAAATGACATAGCGTTGGAAATAATCGTTCGAATGACTGATGAGAATTTAATTTAAGTATCTTGAATTGAATTTTATTTTGATTAACAGAATAATTTCGTTCAAAGAAAGTTGCTTTTCATTTTTCGTGGAAATGACTTTTTCTCATCTTCTCATTCTTCATCGAATCGTCGAAATTACGTTCCGTTCATTTTATATGCAAATCTAAAATCGACTTTTTCGTTAACCTCCGGAGGATTAAAAACAGCGACGTTTATCTGAAAAATTCATGCGTTTATGAAACACACGTGTCGCATTAGATTTGAAGATCTGTCCACGGCGCTAAAAGGGTCTTTCTTTTAAGCCCTCTAAAGATTAACCCTCGTGTGACGGACAGGGTCACTTAAATACGGAAGTAAAATAATTGCACGACTATAAAACAAACGTACGTATATAAAATACACACGTACGAAATAAATAGTAATATTTGTAGACACACATCGGCTGCAGGGAATATTTGCACGAACACCGACTATAAAAAAAAGAAATATTCGCACGTGTCCTTATATATGTACGTATGTTCTCCAAAAATGAAATGTTTCCCTTTAATTTCACACCTCACATTTCATTTCCGCCATAGATATTAAATTTTTATAATCGTACGATTTCTGAAAATTATATATTTTTTACAGTCGTACGATTTCTGAAAATTATATATTTTTTACAGTCGTACGATTT